AGTTTCAACCGGCTAAAACTGCGTTTGCTTCTTTTTTAAAGTTTCTTATTTAAAAGTTGAAACTTTGATGAAAATATAAAATTTGATGTGCAGTTTATATGGTTTTGGTTTATTGAAAAAAAAATTTAACTCGAAAAACATTATGCATATTTAAAAAAAAATCAGCACGTTGTAACTTGTTTGAATCACTGATCACTGAGATCAGCCAATCAAATGCCAGCCAGCCGTTCAATTTAAACTCAGTGTACTTAAACTAAGTTTAAACTGGCCCTTAATGTCTGGTTAACATAATTTGCGGTTTAACATCGTTATCGACGTCTTCCACTCCATGCATACAACAGGGAGTCGTTAACGTCGATAACGATGTTTAACCTGTAGTTGGTGTTATCCAGATATTGAGTAACCGGCTCCTAGTATCCAGAGCTTATCCCGGTTTGGTTGACATTAGCTTTTAATTAGTAGGAAGCCAGCAGACCGCAGACCGGTTTATCCACAAGTTCACACCTTTTTCTCACACTCTTTTATCGTAGGTTCTTTTTTACCACTGATACGTTTGCTATTCATTCGATAAAACTTGAAGCTGGTTTGGCTACTTATCAGAAAATAAACAAATCACACAATGCGAGCAAGAGAACACCGGAGAGATGCATAGTGCACAACATACCCTCTAGGCTGAAGTAAGAAGTTTCGCGTATTTATTTTTCTCTCGTAGTATTTTATTGGATAAAAGTGGGAAACTTTTTTTCAGCTGCAGAGGGATGATTTTCTTTAACTACGTATCACACATTTAATAACATAAGGAGTATTTCAAAATTTCAATTTTGTGGGAAAACGCAATCAAAGTTTTATCAATTCATATAGTTGGTATAGAAAAAGACAGATGGAAAGGCACATATCTTCGCCATATTTGGAAAGTTTGGTTATCTGTCATTAAGGCCATAAAGACATACCGCACAACTGTGTTGCAAATAACCCAGCAAGGAAAGGGGCCTTACTGTTTGCAATCAGTACAGCTCGTAATGCGGGCATTCCGCTAGCTTCCTGCAAGTTGATCCGCGGAGCCTACGTGCAGGATAGCAAGACATATCTGGCCTTAGCTGGATAAGCGTAGATCTCGTCCTCTCCTCCGCTTGGAGCGACCACCGCTCCGACATGTATTTGGTGTTCTCACCGACGTTGCCTGAGGGAACCCACGCTGCTAGAATGGTTTGCAGTCAAAGGACTACTGTCGTAGCTGCCATAATAAGGAACAAATCGAAAGCGTAGAACACTATTTATCTATACCACTGTCTCGCTTTGGCTAGGGGGCGTTGACGCTCGTTCCTTCAATATTCTTTTGAATGTCTGGCTGAACTGGATTCAGGCAATATCCACGACTTTCTGCAATTTATCAGAGCTACGAAGTGGTTCCATTTCTAAGGTAAGAGGAGCAATAACAAGTCTCTAATATGGCATCACAACGTGGCCTAAGTGTGCATTTTTCCTGTGCGAGATGAGGGCAGCCAGGATAACCCAACCCAACATAACCTAAAACGGCAAACTATTTAGTTTCAAATAACTATGTTATTTAACAATGAATATCAGAAGTGTACCACATTAGCCCCTTTGCTTTTATGTAATAATAATGTTACGATTATCCTTGAAACCTCGTCCGGATTTCCCAAATCTCTCGGTTCGTATGCTGGATTGTTAAATAAATGCTAACGATGACCAAATTGTAGTACAATTAACTTTATTGTACAACAATAATTTACAATACTTGCTAATACAGTAAAAACACTTTACAATACTTGTTAAAGCAAAACAACGCTTTACTACTTGTTAACACAATTAAACTTTAGCTTGCTTATTCGCAACTCACTCTCCGCTCACTTTACTTGTAGCTTGCTGACTTGTAACTCCTAACTAACTCACCTCGCTGGGCGGCGCCCTTATATACCTGCGCTGGCACTTATGGCAACCTAGAACATTCTGAAGTTCTCATTCTCTTTCTCTCGCTGTTCGCAGTGTTCATCCAACTTGACCTTTCTCTTTGTGGAACATTCTACGTCATTCCTCGAACATTCTGCTTATTTCTCGTTGTTCGCTTTGTGTTGCCGCAGTATTCGCCACAATAATAAATGGATAGAATATACATTTGTTAGTGTCTGGTTCTAATATGAATTTAATTCGTTTATTTCTTTCTGCGTTATGCCTACGGTAACCCCTGTCCTTTATAATTTTTTTAAAAATAAAAGACGCGTTGTGTACATTATTTCTTAAACTGTCCTTTAAATCGGCTCTGCATTTTTCAGAGGTAAATTTTTAAACGCAGAATGTCCCTCATAAAATATAATGGAAACCTGCGCCAGTTTGTTTCGCACCCCACTTAAGGGGTTCTATTTAATCGGTAATCTTTGTACAATCTATAAAACATAGTGAAAGTTGTGCCCAGGATCGTGTTGTACGCTGAGTTTCCAGTTCCACTGAAAGAGAACAATAAACCCCCTGATGCAGAGTGGTTCAAAACTGGCATTTATTGTTCGTAATTCACTGGAGCCTTAATTTTTTAATTAATTTGATTATTTTTTTATGAAAGCTTACGATATTTGCAAGAGACTAGTTGAGCGTGATTTCTGAACTTTCATTTGAATATATTAAATTTTTTAGTGCAATATGCAGATAAAGAAGCAATTTTGAAGAAAATGTATTATCCTGTTCCAGTTAATAAATAATGCATAAAAACACACTAGTTGAAAACAATGGTATGGTTCTTCCAAACAATCAAAAAAAATACACGAAAAAATTTTGAAATGTTATAAAAAAAATTTGACCAACAAAAAATTTTTTTTTTTGGTTTTTGAAAAAAATATTTTGAGCCACTGTGTTCCGGTATTCGTCGTGCAGTCCTTGAAAAGAATTTGGTTTAATTTTTCGCTACAGCAGGGGAACTTGTACAATTAAATGATATAATTAACTGGTAAATATTTGATTTAAATTACGATATGGGTACGGTACTTTTCTCATACAAGTTGTATGTACGTATTCCCAACTCATTTGAAAAAAAAATGTCCTTTATTTTACGTTGGTTAATATGGTCATCGTAGTTATGCCAAACCATATTTGTTTTTGTTTCTTAAAAAGAACCTTAAAAAATTCCAATTTTGGAAAAATATTTCTTTTAGCAATTAAATCAAACCTTTACCTTTTTTTCCATTTATAATTAACCGACTTCACAAACAGGAAGAAGGTTATCAATTCGTCGGAATATTTTTTTTTTCTTTTTTACATGTATGTATGTTACCGCATAACTTTGGACCACGTTAAACTATTTCTATTATTCTTTTTTTTTGAGGAAGGGCACAGGTGGTCTCATACTAATTTTGTTTAGATCGGATAATTGGTGAAGAAATTCGCGGTACACCTAAATTTTTTTTTATGAGAGTTGAAATCGCTTTTGTTTTTTACTTAAAAATTACTTGTAATGTAAAAGGTTTTCTCACATAGCAAACAGTTTGGGAAATAAGCGAGTGTACCAGATTACCCGCCAATACCACATTACACTTAAATTGATTAGCTTTTGTTATTTTCTCATATATGTACATAATAGTTATGTCCCCGTATAAAATTTAAAATTTGTCATAGCCCTAAGTTTTCCTACAGGGTATTTGGTACTGATAAAGTTTGTGTGTGTGTTTGTTATATATATAGTCTGTATGTATGTTTATGTATAAACTATCAGTTTGTTTTTATTTATTTATTTATTTATTTATTTATTTAGTCTACAGAAAAATTTTTTCTTACAGACAGTTGAGATAAAAAGATTTAGAATATTTAAGTATGTGTGATACATTACAGAGTGAAATAATTATAAATATTAACTTGTAAAGATAACAATGATATTCANTATTTTATTATTTACATATTTTTTTTTTTGTCTGTGGTCTGTGGTCTGTGCTATCACTGCGTGGAGCTCAACAAGTTATCACAAAACAAAAATCGAAAAAGAAACTTTTAATACAAATGTACTCATATATATATACGCTCCCGCAGAATAACTACACATTTACTCATGTCCATGCATATAAACATTTGTCTTTATTTATGTATATATTAATATAATTTTGCCTCGATTTTTCCACACTTCGTTTTCGGCATTCAAACGTTTCAGTCTCAAAATAAAGTTCGTGCGCAGTGAACGCAAATAGTAGCTAAGTGGATAAGCAGGCAGTGCCAGTTGCAACTTTTAGTCAGTAGTTGCTAAAAAAATAAATATATATATTTTTTTCTTTTAAAAGCCGAACGTGGTCATAATTTAAATGTAAGTCCACCAGATTAAAAAAAAAAAAATAACAAACAACATTTTCTAAATCTGTTCAACATCATAAGCCGGTACTTACGAATAAAAAAGGTGAAATAATTGGGTGCAAAAAGTTTAGTGAAGTCTTACATCAGTCGAGTGCATAGCAAAACATTTAGTTCCAGATATGTACATATCTATGCATATACATACATCTGTATGTACGTAAATACATACTCGCAACGCTAGTGTTTTTCACATTTATCAGTGAGAAGGAAAAGTGAAAGTAATTTCCACATTATTTTCGAATTATTTTGATCAATCTTATTAGGGAAAATGTATTTTGAGTAAAATAAAAAAGGAAAAAAAAAAGTATAGAAGAAATTAAATATATACCTATGATATAAAATACAAATAGATAACAAAAAATATTAAATTTGGCAAATAAAAGAAATATAGCATAGAAAGTAAAAAATA